GGAAAGAGCTGCTGGAACACACTCCTCTAGGATGTGTGGCCTTAGCCTCCACCTGCCCAAGCCACCTCAATCAGTCTCTCCTCAGGATGAAGCCGTGGCTCCCAAATCCATGGAGCTGGGTGTTGGGAAGCAGGGTGTGGGGACAACTCCACATCCCAGCCTCCCTCTTATCCCTGTAGAAGATGCTTCTCACCCTTTCGAGCTGGTGCCAAAGACCCCATTTGGCTCTTGTTTCCAGTTCTTCAACCAGGTCCCAACCTTCTTAACTTCCCCCTCGGAGTTAAACCTGCTGATCTCCTTAGGGCAGAGGAAAGATCTGCTGGATATTTATCTTCAGAAAGCCACGCAGGCTGGCTGAGGGACCTGACCAAGAAGAGTAATGAGCATTTTGTTCTGCAGCTGGGTGGCCACCAGTCCTTGCAATGGAATGACCAGAAAGGATGGGTGGCTGGAGTGTTGGGGCAAGTTCTGGAGACATTCAGGAGATGCTTTTTCAGCTGCTGGGGGGGTTTCCACCTTCATCCCAGCAACCCAGTTGCCATCTCCTCCTCCCAGTTGCTGACTCCTACCGGGCTGCCCCAGAAACCCCTCAGGAGGTGGTTAGTTTTATTTTGGGTGTGACATGGCCTCCTTGTCAGGTGAAAGGGAAGCTACAGAAGCTCTGCCCTGAGTTTTTTGTCCTTCTTCTTTTCTTGCCACCCATCTGTCACCTCTGCTGGGGCCTGTGCCACTCGCTTGGTGGCTCCTGAACTTCAGGTGATTTGAAGTTGAGTTTCTTCAAGCTGAGTCACTTGGCTGACTTGGTGATTTCAGGCTGGTGACCCCAAGGCTGTTGGTTTAGCTTCTGTGCTCTGGATTTCAGCCACTGGGATGAGGTTCTTGGGGGTCCACATGTGTCTCCTGGGTGTGTCAGGTGTCTCTTTGCCCTTGGAGCGGACTTGCCTCTGGCCTGTGCCAAGTGCTTGGGTTGGGTGAAGGCCAAAGCCTGGTTGCTTCTAATCAGCACAGGGGGTGAAACATGGAGATCAGGCCAGGCTGTGCAAGAGAGGGAGGTGTTTGTAGGACAAGGTCATCCATCTGGAGCCCAAGGCTTTCTGAAGAGCAGCTTGGGAAACACTGAGGAGGGACACTTGACCTGTGGAAACTTCCTGAGGTCCGTTCCAGCCTGAAGTATCCTGCAGCTCTGTCTTTCCAGTTGCTAAAAGCTGAGTTGCTTTCAAATCCTTCAGCTCTGGGTGGGAGAACATCCTGTTGACCCCTCAGAGAGGTTCTGGTGCTGGTGGCAGGATTTGAGATGAAAGTTAGAAGTTCTTTGAAAGGATCCAGAAGACATTAATTCTTCTGTGGGTGGGGAAAGACCTTAAAAAAAGAAGCTCATTCCAGATAAATCAAAGATATTAAGTGAAAAAGTGTTTCAGAAGAATGGGATCATCTCTGGTCCATTTCCCACTGTCTCAGGGCTGTGGTTCCTCACCCTGGCACATAGATCTGACATCAAGTTTCCACAGTGGGTGCCATAAACAATTCCAGAGGGTTCAGGTCACCCCTCTGCCTGACAGGGATCCCACCTGCTGCTGGCCCAGCAGTGGGTGGCACTTTGGGACAAGCTGATTCAGGTGGGGAAGTTGTGGTGGGGTTTGTGGCTTCTCTGCCTGAGAAGAACCTTGACATTAGAAGCCTCATGACTGAAGCGCTCTGAGCAGACCCTGGGGAGTGTGTCTGGGGAGGGGTTGTGGTATGGATCATGGGGTGGTTCCTGCATGGGCAGGGACACCTCCCATCAGGTTGCTCCAAGCCCTATCCAACCTCCCCTTCAACACTGCCAGGGATGGGGCTTCCAGAACTTCACAACCTGTTCCAGGATCTCACCACCCTCATAGTGAGGAATTTCCTCTTTATGCCCCACCTCAATCTCCCCCTTCAGTTTGAATCCATTCCCCTCATCCCATCCCTCCCTGCCCTTGTCCCAAGCCCCTCCCCAGCTTTCCTGGAGCCCCTTCAGGCACTCAAAGGTGCTCCAAGGTCTCCTCAGATCCTTCTCCTCTCCAGGCTGAACACCCCAACTCTCTCAGAGCTGCTCCAGCCCTCGGATCATCTCCGTGGCCTCCTCACTCCACCAGCTCCGTGTCTTTCTGGTGCTGGGGGCTCCAGACCTGGCCCCAGTTCCCCAGGAGGGTCCCACCAGAGCAGAGCAGAGGGGA